AAGCAGATAGAAGATAGATAGGAAAATGGGGCAGAATACATCAGTCAATGCAATTTGGTACCTCCAACATATACAGGCAATGTTGACTTTATACTAAAATCATCATCCTGAGCACTGTAAGGTTAAGTGTACACTTTTTCTTCTGCTTCAACTATAAACTTCCAAGCTATTATCATACTCATTGGTGCTATCACATGTTTTCTCCGAAGAAGCATGAAAATGAATTAAACAGATGACCTGTCCCTGAGATGCTGCTGCCCATGTCAGCTCATTTTCTGCAGATATTTGCATATGATGGGGCATTCCATTATATGAATTGGATTATGGCCATATACTCTGTGTGGGGATGCCCTTGATTTTCAAATACCTGGAAACAGCTGCTGCTCTCAAATGTGACAGGACTGTCAGGAAGAATGAATAACGGTAAGCCTATTTTTCATAAGCCCAAGGAATGCCCATGTAACATCACTGCTTCATGAGCTGCACTGGTTACTAGTTAGCTATGCAGTGGTGGGATTCAAAAATGTTTATTACTGGTTCTGTGGGCGTGGCTTGGTGGGCATGGTATGGCTTGGTATGGCTTGGTGGGAGTGGCAGGGGAAGGATATTGTAAAATCTCCATTCCCTCCCCACTCCTGGGGGAGGGTTACCACCAGTTCCCTGAACTGCTCAAAATTTCCACTATTAGTTCTCTAGAACTGGTCAGAACCTGCTAAATGCCACCTCTGAACATATGCTATACAACCTACAACTTTCACGACAGGCAGCCTCATTATTTGAGGGACTGCCTATCTCCTACAATTTTTCTTCTCCCATAAAACCTGACAGAGAGCATAGTAGAACTCCTAATTCTCACCCCTCACAGACCCATTTTGCTTCCACCCTGATGATGGTCCAGAAGGTGCTGAAAAAAATTGGTTATTTTCCCAGGCCTGGGAGTACAGTGGCTGGTGAGCCCTGTAACATTTTGTTCTGTTTCTATGGTTTTTCTTTTTTCTGAAGGCATATCTCATTGAGCTCTCATTTTTTTAAAATCAAAATTTTATGAATGTCCTGCAATATATGTGACTGAAATATGCTGATTTAAGATAAACCTACAATATGTGTCTTGTAGCATGATGGTGATGGTGGCGGTGGTGTCCTCTTTAATAGTAAAACATTCTAGTAAAAACCTCCAGTTCATAGAAATGACACAACTGATAATTAATTTATATCTATTTTATAAATAAGCTACCAAGAAAGAAGATTTGCTATGTCAATTATTTCCTTGTTACCATTTGTTCAGGAATCTTTTTCTGAGACACACACAATAAATTTTCATTTTCTATGGGAATCCAACTGCTGGTAAATAGAAGCACAAACAAGAATTCATGTTTACTTTCAAAAGGACTGAAAAATGGGTGATAAAATATTGATTATAAATATTTGTCCTTGTAATCAAGAACTTTATGTCAAAACTATTGAGAAATCAACTACTATTTGATGTTTGTATAATTTTTTGTCTTCAAAATAATGACTTGAAAACAGGTACCCTATATTCAACAGGGCTTATGCTTGATAAAGAAAGTATCCATGGGACCTCCCTTTTAGCTTTTTAATTTTGCACCTATTCTTTGCAGATAACTTCCCACAATTCATATGCTATTTGTTGAGAAAGTTCTCTTAAAGAATAATTAAATAAAACAGTAAGACACAGAGAAAATAACATTATCACCCTAGCATGTAAGTATTTCAATAGTTTTTCACAATATGGGATCTACAGGTTATTTTAATCATAGGCTTTTCATCTGTTACAAAGACATACCATAGCTATGTTTGTCCAGAAAGAATTTTGAAATATTTGTCACACTTCACTCACTTACCCTGATCTCAGTATTTAAATTATCTCACTCAATAATTTCTTGGAATGGAGAGGACTGAATACTGCTCCAGTATCATAGTCCAAATCAAATTTGGGTCAGCCAACAGAGTAACTCAGGCAAGTATAACTGGAACAGAAATTTGAAGTGATGGGACACTGTTCCTGAGGATTATGTTGTTTTGTATTGTTTAAATATTTATTCAAATAAGCCTTGTTCTTTCATGCACCAAGCCTCCCCTCCAATGTTTAAAAATAACATAGAATAACCTTAAATAACTTTAAATAAGCAATTGAAGAAACATGTTACTTGTAATTGACATAAGAAATAGCCTAGAAAAAAATAGAAAACACATCCAGACCCAAGCCTTTTCAGAGAAGTAGTTATCTGAATAACTAAAAGCCACCATGAAAAGGGTTCGACTAGAAATCTTGGCAAGAGAGAAGCCAATAACTTGTCAGGCATTATACATCTAATGCCTCTGAGTTTGCCATAACCACCACAAAAATGGAACTATTTCTCATACATCAAAAACAAAAGAATAAAACTTTAAAAAATATGACTTCCAAATATATTTAATTTCTTGTTTTATAAATTAACTCTAGATGCAGGCACGTATTCTAGAAGCATAGAAGCCATACTCACAGGACTCTGAAACCCAGAAAATACAATACAGGAAGCAGAGTCAAATGCTAGGCAAAAAATATGTCTCCTGCTCATTCATCAAAATCAAAGTAGCATTATGATAAGCCCAGATGATCTAACTTGGTCAGTCATTGTATATCGGTCATTGACCAGCCCTGACCTAAGTCACTCATATTCCTGACTACATGTTCCTGGTCACAAATGGTTCCTATTCTTTTAGATAATCATGCAAAAAAAAAGAGGTGTGTGTGTGTGTGTGTGTGTGTGTGTGTGTGTGTGTGAGAGAGAGAGAGAGAGAGAGAGAGAGAGAGAGAGAGAGAGAGA